CATATATATATATATATATATATATACATATGCATATAAATATATATAATAAAAAATTTTATTATATAATAATTTTTTTATTTTTTATGTATAATAGTAAATAATTTTTATAATTCTTATTTTTTGTATGTAAAATAAAAACATTATTTATATGTATATTATTTATTTTTTAGAAAAAAACTTGAGTTGCAGTCGAGTTCGAACCGAGATAAGCTCAAACTTGCGAGCTTTGAACCGAATTGAGCTTGAATTCAAATCTAACTCGAGCCTAACACTGCTTTAGCGAGTCAAGCTCGAATAGCCAAGTATTCAACTTGGCTCGGCTTGAATCCACGGTCAAAAGGAGCATTTCCTCATTTCAAGAGGGGTGGATTTTTTTCCCCATAATATAAGGGGATGTTTGTTTATTATTCATTATAAGTTAAACTATATTTAAGTCCTTCCATATCTAGCACTCATTACTCAAAAATTCAGATAAGTACAGAAAAACAGAAAAGAAGATCATGGATATTTTCTAATTTAATTTTATAAGACAACGAATTGAATGACAAACCCAGTGATCGATCGAGGAATTTCATTGTTTATTCAATAAGAACGTGTTCATACGATCATCACTAAGCCAGTCATGATCGAAGACCATCGATCGTTTTTGTGAGGCAGTCCCCAGCATCTAAAACATCCAAAAACATTCGTTGGGACATTTTGCACCGATAAGAACAAATTTCCGGGGACCATCTAAAAGAGAATGTAGTTCTGCGTTGCTGTATTTAGGTAGTTAGTTGCATTGATTAGTCTCACTGCTCAGAAAACTAGAGAAGTTCAATTGATTGTGTATAGATTGGTTGAAGCTTTCTATCATCCAAGCATTTCTTCAACCATGTCTCCATTCAAGTTGGCGTTTTCAGTCAAGCATGTTGCGATAATCCTAGTTTATTGGTGCCCTTTTTCCAGTATAGCAAAATATCTTTTGCCTGGTCTATGCAAAAAAAAAAAAAGAGTAGGCCAAAATAGGAAAATTATGGAAACATGCTTGCCTGGAGATGTATTGCATTGACAATGTTGTGCAGATTAAGGGGATATATAGATGATATATTTTGGTTTTGTGGATTCAAACTGTCAAGCAGAAAATGTTGTTTGAAAAGATGAAAAGCATCTCTTTTGAGTTCTAGCAAGAATATTTGTCATAAGCAGACATGAACAATTAGTCAATGGCTGTAGCTAAAAGCCTAAAACTATTACGTATTACTTCTCAATGGCGGCCTGCGGAGCAATGGTGAGTTGTTCCACGAGAGGGTTTGGGTTGGAGTAGTTTTAATATTTGAATTCCATATCACATGTGAGTCATCTGTGGGTCATCTCTCACATCCGTTCCCAGCTCTCTTAAGTCTTATCGTTTCCCACACCCGGCCGCGGGCCATTTTCTCAACGCTATCAACTCCTTATGGTGCTGATTTGTCTCCATTCCCTTTTTTTGCCACGTGGCAAAATGGCTGAAAAAGCAATTGGATGGGAAGGGATAAAGGGAGTAGTCCCCCCATTTAGGCCATACTCAGTTGGGGCATTTGCAGTTTGGCATGCATTACAAGTTGCCCTTCAACGGTCAACCTCGCTGTACTTGTTGGATGTCTCAACCACATAAACCTAGGAGAGGACCGATACTGAGCACTGACAGACAGGATGGATACTTGCTCCAGTAAATCAACCAATGGAGCCAAATACATATAATATAAAAACAAAATTGTTTGCATCTACAATTTGAATAGTTTCATCCCTTTCTTCATTAAAGAGATGATGGAAGAATGGTGGTCGATCGATGAAAGCTCTTCTTCCACCATCAATATTTCTTTAGGAGAGATCAACATCAATGATGCAATTCTCAATTACCAAGTTGGAGGAATGCGAGTACAAAAATAGCAAAAGTGTAAATTCTACACTTTTTTTTTGTTTTGCTTTAAGTTTTACCTTACTTCATTTGCAACGCAAACAAAACGGAGCAAAATAAAATCAGAATTTGCATTATCATATTTTTGCACCGATACAAATGAAATTGTACTACAAACAAAGTAGGCCTAAACAACAAACCCTAATGAATGTAATGTTTAGGTGGGGTTTGAGATCCTTGATGTACACGTGCATACAACAAGGGACACATGAAGCATGGGCTCTCTCGTTCACAATCAGGATTGCCTTGTCAAATCCCAAGACCATGAATGATACGAAGTAGTACTTTTGAATTAACTTTGATAACAACGTATCAGCCTCAGTTGCAAATTAGGGTCAGGTGGGGGGTTTTGAACGTGAAAGTGAGAAGGATCAATAATAGGAAAGATTGGGTGATCAATATACTGTTGAAATATCTTTTGTTAAATGAATTCATTCCCAAAATCTACAGTGAAATTGTCAAACAAATTAAACCCCATGATTCTTCAATGCTAGGTGGAAAAAAGTTGAAGTGAGAAAGGAAATAATGAAGCCGTAAATTTTATTTTTCTACTCTCATCTAATGCTTTGGATTCCGACCTAAAATTTCTTGGCCTTTTGGGAAACTAAATGAATTGCCATGTTCCAAACACACATGCCCTAGCCCTATGCTACGTCTCAATAATTGTCAATTCTTATGGCTAACGTTGGGAACCCAAAAGAGATAAGAGCTGGTCTGTCTAATACTACCACCTAACTGGAAGTTGTATTTGTATCTTTATGCAATTTGAAATTGCCAACACACACAAAACCAAATTCTGTGGAACAAGTGACAGAACCCCCTTAGAAGTTTTGAAATTACTTGTATCTCTCCTCGGGTTTTCATCAAATACTTTCGTCACCACCCCTCACGCTTACCTAATAATTAACTTACTTATACCCCCTCTAACCATGAAATTACAGGCAGGGTTTTGTTAATGGAAGAGATATAATCAAGATGGAAACGAGATAATTTACAAAACTGGCCCTAACAATAAAGTAGTATTAGTTTTGCCTCCAAAGTATATGTTAGTTTTGGAATTAATGAAAGCATCCTCATTTATATCATCAAATACATTTTCGAGTTGGGGTAAAAAAAAATGTGATGAAAAGTGTTGTAAGCAAGGATCAAATTTTTGATATGATACATTTCATATTGGGTATATTGTATCGTATCGTTGGAGTTTAGATATACCTGTTTATAGGTGTTTCGGGAATACCATTTTTAATTTTTAATAAAAAATATACTTAAAAATGTCCTTAAAAACCAATTTTTGAAAAAAAAAACAAAGCGCATGGTTTTATGGTTTTTAGTACCAATACTTCTCTGCCAATACACAGGGGTGTATTGATACTATGAACCATGGTTGTAAGCATTTGGTAAGTGTTTTTTTATTAACATAATATTAAGTCAAAACACTTTTCAGCCGCAAAAACAAGACCTAAAACTGGGCCTTTTTGCTTTGGGAACACAAAATCTTGATGCTTACCCAAACACAAGCTAGTTTTTAATTTCATTTATTTTTATTTTGAACTGAACTTTTCATTCCCACCTTAACGCTATGTAGGGAAAATTTAAGAGCTCTCACCGTGAGATTCCCTTACATTTTTTGCTGATTGAATGTTGTGAAACCTAAGAATATAATATTTGTTTTGATGAGAGCAATCTCATCAACTCTCATCATGCGTTAGCTTTGCAGTGTTAATTTATTCATTCAAAGAGGGATAAGTGATAGCCAAAGCAGCAGGGAAAGCATTTTCATCTAATCATCCTTTTAATTATTATTAGTAAGTGTGCATATACTTTATAGTGATGATTTTTTATGGCGATGATAATAGTAAATAATATGTTTCAATTTTTTTTAAATTTTATATATTTTTATGTCTAAAAAATTATTCTTATTTATCATATTCATTATTGTTTAATATGATGAATATATGATATCAGTGATGTGCCCAAATGTTTTCTACAAATTATTTTGTATTTTTTTTTATACTTTTGTGTGTTTTTATCTTTTTTTTTTAATTTTATTATTATTATTTAATCATGACATCAATGATACATAGTTGATGTTGAATTGTTGACTCGCCATCAAGCAGGAAAAAGAAAACTTCATTTTGGGTTGATTTTAAATTTACATTTTATTTTTATCATTAATAAAAACCAATATTCTTTGTTAAACTTTTTTTTTAATATAATCAATTAATATAAGATTCAATGAAAGAATTAGAGTTAATACCCTAAATATAAAATTTAATGAGATAGAATTGAATGAGGATAAATGCAGTAGTTCAAATTATATTTTGTGTCCTCACAATTAGAGAGAGACCAAATTTAAAAATAAGGGTATTTTAATCTAAAATAAGATTTAAGGAATGTTAATAAGAATTAATATCTTAAATATAAGACTTAATGATAAGGATTTGAATGAAGATAAAAGTAATCATTCAAATTACATTTTTGTCCTTACAATAATAAAAATATCAAATTAAAAAATTGAGTAATAAATTAATTAATTGTGTTTATTGTTTAAATTAATTAGAAAGCCAATGATGAGTAATAAAATGAACACGAGGGGCTCTCAGGGTGAGAGCGTTCCCATCTGACCATCATTCCACTCTCCCTACTGCCGACCTAGCAATACTTAGAAAACCAAAAGGATCCCATGTTCAGAGGTCACGTCACTAGGCCATAGCCAACAGGCCCAACACTTCTCATGCAATGCACCAACACTACAAAGCCATCAATATGTTTCCAACTTACTTGACCTAAGTTTTCTAAATTATTATTTCTTCCAAATTCCAAAAGCTTATTGGGGGCCCATTTTACTGGATATATCTTTTGGACTTGGCTCCACCATGGGAACACGACCAGGGAAACTGAAACAGCCACGTATCTCTACCAAGCTCTCCTTTTTTTTTTTTTCTTTGCTTTCTTTTTCTTAATAATAGAAAAAAGATAAATAAAACAATATAGAAAGAGTGTGATAGACCACACGGATTCCTACAGTATTACACAAAGCGTATATCCAAAACTTGAGCTGGTCTATAAATTGCTCTCAGCCACGCCCTCCATTACCTTTAAGAGAGACTCTGTAGTCTGTAGCTCAAATCTTATGGCTGAGTTCGCAGGAGAATTGCAAAGCTTCAAACCTTCTTTCCCCTTCTTAGAGTTCGACTCGAATATGGAACTACTAAACCAGATTGCAGAGTTGAACCCAACAGCTTTCTTGAATCCCAGCCTGAATTTACAGAGCTTCATGGGATTCTCCGGTGACATTTCCTTCGCCCAGCAGCAACCTGAATTCTCGATGAGCTTTGCAGATGAGACGACGGGTCTCCTCTACCAAGGCAGTCCGAATGCATTGCCGGCAGTTGTTCAACCAGCTGCTTCCGTTGGAGATGTTGTAGTCCATGAAAGTAAGATTCAAAAAGCAACAGCGGCATCAGAGAGCAGCTCCGGAATCACTTCTTCTGCTACAGTTTCGGAAACGGGGTTGGGAGGAGATACTCATCAGATTAAGAGAAAGAGCGTACGTTCTTATTATTCCTTTTCCTTAGTGAAGTTTGGTTGTTTTTCTGGAATATGGTCACTCTGTTTATGTGAGACTCAGATTGTGGGTGTTTGGTTTTTGTGTTCACAGAGCCTAGGAAGAGGAAAGAGAAAGAGAAACAATGAGAAAGAAGGGGAAAAACCAAAGGATGTTATTCATGTCAGAGCAAGAAGAGGTCAAGCCACTGACAGTCACAGTTTAGCAGAAAGGGTAAATCTGTAATATTGTTTTTTAATTTTTTTAAGAAATTAAATAAAATACGCCCCTGTTGCGATCAATATAACAGAATGAAAAATGTCTTCTTCAGAACACTGACTACTATCCATATTGTTGGTGTACGATCTAAAATAGCTATAAGAGTAAAGTGCAATGTGTCATGTAAAAAGGGAAAAAATAAGTAGTTGGACATTGTTGGAATTAACTGTGATTCCTTTTCTGTGGATCAGGTAAGAAGAGAGAAAATCAATGACAGACTGAGATGCTTGCAAGGCTTGGTTCCAGGATGCTACAAGGTAAGGTTACAGCTTTAAGAAGATTCTTCCATTAATGGTTTCTTGATTAAAAACTTTTTATTTTTTTCTTTTCTTTCATGCAAGGAGTATTTAGTTATTTTTCTAATAAGGATTTGTGGATTTGCAGACAATGGGAATGGCAGTGATGTTAGATGAAATAATCAATTATGTTCAGTCATTGCAGAATCAAGTTGAGGTGAGTCCAAGTAGATATATCATATATGGTTTGCTAATGAATTAAGGAGAATTGTTAAAGTAAATTACTAATATATGCTTCTTTCTCTTCTTTGTGTTTTGCCTCAGTTTCTTTCCATGAAGCTTTCAGCAGCTAGTTCTTTCTATGACTTCAACTCAGAGGTGGAGGTTAATGAAACTATGCAGGTAAATACTTTAAGCACCATTTGCCTTAAATTGATGTGGGCTTGTCTTGTTCACCATCATCATCCAAGCCTTATTTATCCCAACTATATGGGGTGGCCGTGCGTGACATGAATCCTGCTTCGCCATTGGATTCTGTCTTGTTCAACAAATCACCATGAATCTGGTCAAAGTTTTAAGGAAGAAGATGCACCATTGAATGTCACCTTCACATGGTTGAGACTTGGGACAATGAATTTAACCCCCCACTTTAGGGTGGCTGAATGTAATCCAATGTCTGCAATTACAAGAAATGGAAGTGAAGTATTGTCTTTTTATGTTCCTAAAGGAAAAAAAAAAAAAAAACTTCAGAGGCCACATCTCCCCTGGTGTTCTCAGGTGCAGCTCTCTACTAGACATGGAAAAAGAATAATTGGGACCACTAGTTCCACTCTGAATCCAGGTGCTGGTATGTGCCCAAGGGACCACAGTATGGGGAAGGTTTCCTTAAACAGTGCTCACTTTGAAATGGCAGCCCCGGCCCAATCGATCAAAAGGGGCTAAAATAGCATAGCTAGCCTTTATGAGGAAATGATCCCTCAGTACTCTTTCTCCAGAGTCCCATGGGCCATGCTATCCCTATTCAAAGGACAAACTTTTCCTCTATAACATCAGAGATCAGACCCTTTTGAATTCATCAAGCACAATAGAGAGCCTTGACCATAATTTGCTGCCTACCCATTGGTGATTGGCATGCTGTAAACAGAATTTTGAATCTAAAATGGGTTCAGATCAAGAGTTAAGGATCGATCCAGTTAGGGACACCTGAGCTTGACCATGGCCCTCGAACTTGGCTCGACATTTCTTAGATATGTACATAGTGTTGTTTCATTCTCTGAAAGAAGATCTTGTCTACTTCATTTTTAAGTGATGGTTGGGTGCCTGGTTCATTTTGCAGGGGGCAAATGCATATGAAGCACAAGAGATAGAGAGGCTGATGAGAGAAGGTTATGGAGGAGGTCTCACTTGCTCCCAATCAACATGGCCCCTTTGACTCTACTTTTGGCTCTTATTCCCAACTGCTGCAGGCCACATGAACAAGCTCTATTCCTTCTCTGCCATATATCAAATCTGTCTCCTGATCATGCTTTATATAGCACACGTGCAAACAAAACATGTACTCCAAACCCATACGCCCATGTGGGGGCCAAACTTAAAATTCAATAATAAAAGTTGTTTTAATATCATTTATCTTCAATTTGTTTGTTAATTGTCCTTAATCCCAAAGTTCTGGATGAAATTTGTTTCCTAGTACCAACCATTAATCTATGTATGACTACCACCATGTTGCCAAGATCAAGTATTATAAATAATTAATACAGTTTGACTTTAATGCTTCTTAATTTCTATCGTGTTGTATCTGTTTTCGCAATAGAACAACATAGCAAGCTATTTTGCATTCCTGAAGAAAATCAACCGCAAACTTCAGCCAATTAATTTTGTCACTTGAGAGAGAGAGAGAATATTATTATTATTAGTAGTAGTAGATGGTCACTGGTCAATAATTCAACTCCATATTGGTGATGCCCCAATAAGGTTGTCTCGGGCATGCCTAGCCCATGCCTTCGGCTTAAGAACAAAAAGTGGGTGCACATTTGTACAGTCAATAATAAACCTGACTTCTCTCTCTCTCATAGGACAGTGTCCCATGTAGAAGGCCCATTAGATCAAATAATTAGTTGTATGTATATTTTGTTTGAGCCATATAATAAAAACCGAAAGGAAATATGATGGGATATGCTATTTAGATAGTTTATTGTCATTGTACATCCAATGAAGAATAAGAAGGAAGGTTAAGAAAGGAAGAAAGAAAAGAAAAGGAGATAGGATATTCATTTAATTTAAGCCTATCTTTTCATTTTGAAATCCAAACTAGGAGTCCAAGTAGGACCATCCCATGAATTTGATATGGTTGCTATCATTTTACATCCAATGAATAAGAAGAAACAAGGAACAGGAAAGGAAAATGAAGATATTTATATTATCCTATCTTTTCAATTTAAAACCCAGACTATGAGTCCAGGATTGGACCAAAGGACTGAAATCCATCTGCCATATAACAATTGCATTGAATGACACATCCTTTTAGATGTAGAAAATCAAATGATATTGATCAAAAGATTAATCCATTTGGTTTCAGACTTGGTGCAATAAAGGGGGCATTAAGAAGATAATTACATGATTGTTTTAAGAAGTTTATACAGATTAAATTCAACAAATTAAAGAGCCTGGTTAATCCAATCTAGATTTCTGACTAAAAGAAATGAAAAGAGAAGATTTTTTTTTTTTTTAATTCTGTGCCTATCTTTTTGACACGTATCTGGTTTGGCACCTACATAATCCATCCCAAAATCAATGGCAACAAAGTGTAGAGAAGTCATTTTTCCTGACCAGAGAAAACAGCTTCTAGACCCAATAAGGCAGCACAAATAACAGAACGTGGTCCAGAAAAAAATGGGCAGGTATGTCAACTGGATGGACAGCTAGCTTAAGCAAAGAATTTTTGACATCTATTCCCACAGGGTGGCCAGAATAGAAGGTGAAAGAGACAGTCATGGGATCTACCTTGGCATTTGGTGGAGCCCATGAATGGACTATTGGACCCCAAGAAATGTTACCACTCTAAACTGAATGATTGAAAGAAAGAAGCTAAGGAAAATGGTTTAGAGGGTGATTAAAGGAAGAATGACAGGTTCATTGCATTCATGGATTAGGGTTTTGGGATAGAGAGGATGACAGCTTGAATGGGCCACACAATGCCCACAAGAGCATGGGCAATGTGGGTTCTCCAACCCCTCAAATGATAAATACCCATGAACCTCCAAAGCAGCTTTTTGAACTCCTTTTTCTTTGACTCCCTTTTGACCAGACCCCCCTCTCTCTCTAGAATTCATGCACAAGAGAGAGAGAGAGAGAGTATGGGCCCACCTTACTAACTAAATCAATGGGTCATATTCCCAATTTAGATTTGAATCTCACGTATGTGTCCAATGTGGGGTTTGGTTCATATAGTAAGCTTCAAAAGACAACTATGACTACAATGGGCAAGTCCAAGAACACCCCATCCCCGCAGCAGTAGCACTTAGGTATTTGCTAGAAAGCCTTGGAATTGCAGAAGGTTGTTGGCTAGTCATGAATCTTATTCAACATGGCTGAGATAAAAACCAAATTATTGTTGGGGGAGACAAGCTTGCGACACGTGGTTGTATAAAGGTGAGATTTTAGGTTTTGAATAGCCTCTTCAACTACTGCTGGCTCCATCCATCTAGGAGTAATCTATTTTTAATTTATACATTTTTCTCTATATAAAGAGGCTTGCATAAGCTATTTCAATTCCTTTATTTTATTACACCCAATATCTTATTTGCGTCTTTATAATCTAATCCGGAACAATCAGTATGTGAGGTCCCATCTTGAAGATTTTCATCAAAAGAAATTATAGTATCAGTCAAACTGGATGGTTTAATCACCAAATTTAAAGTATTAGGTTATTCCTTTTTTTAGCAATCACAAAAGAATTATAATTATATTGCTTTATCACACACACACAAAAAAAAATCTGCTCTTTGATGCCTGAAAGCATCCTGTCAAGAAGGGTAGCTTTTGATCTGATAGAACTCCTAATTGGGTTCAGTTTTGATGGAAAAGATTATCTACAAATTGTCTCATATGATATGGACTAGTTACTATCATGATTAAAGTAGTATCAGGACTAATGAATATTTCTTTAAAGAATAAGAACAAGGCAATCAGGGATCTGAAGATAATTTAAAAGAAAGAAAGAAAATAAATATGATAGCCACAGAAAGAGAGACATATCACTTGGGACCAATTGGAAGCAATTGGAGCTAAGCAGTAAAATCAAATCTTAAGGCAATGCTAGCTATGATCTTAATTTCTACTATGTCTTTGAATTGAACTTTGACTAACAAAATAATTGAGGGCCCATGCATGTGTTTATAAAGGGTATATATAGGTCCGTTATTATACTATCTTACTACTATATTTCTTTGGGCTTTTTCTACATTCACAAAAGTTTATTTTGATTATTTGCAATGCAAAAGAAATATAATTAGTTTTTCTTTGTAATAGGGCAGTGACTAAAGAATTTAGACAAATATAATCTGTGAAAACACATTGTATCCAAGATAAATAGGCCGGGTGAATATGCAAGAGGCCCTTTTCTCAGAAATAACTAGTGGGCACGCACTATGCAGCTCTTGTTCTGGTACGTGATTTCATAAAATAATCTGTTGAAACTTTTATTAATCAAAGGTATTTAATTTTTTTAGGTCCACCATAGCATATTTGACACAAAAGAAACAACCGATTGGATGGTTTTACTAAGAAAAATAGTACTACATCTTTTTCGAACTGTTAAAGAAAAGACGTTACTCTTTTCTTTTTTCTTTTTTTTTTTTTTTAAAGGAGCTATTTAATTGATAAGGAAGGTATCCTATCAAACAATTTCTTCATTATTAATTAATAACCTAGTAGATCTCCATATGTTCTATTATTTTACAGCTTAGGTCAAAAGGATATTAAAAGATACTGGCTGACAAATTTAATAGGTTTTAAGTTAATAATAAAATACTAGCAAATAAATCTATGCATGGGGTTGAATAAAAAATTGGTCGGGTTTGGATTGGATCCAGGCCAAGGTCCAGGGTTGGTTCTTAACCTGAGCCAATCCAGTCGAAAAGGGTTTAGAGATGCGTATGTGTGTCTCAGAGAGAGGGAAAGAGATCCATTTATTAGAGAAAATTAAGATCTAAGAGGGTTTTAATGTTTTATTGTGATATCTTATATTTTAATAATTTAATTTAAAATAAATACTCAGACATGTAAGAAATGAGAGGAGAAGGAGGTAGGGTGACATTAAGGTGAGAGGACTTTGAAGTATCAATGGATCAGGTTTGGATTGGACCCCGCCCGAATCAAAATCAATTTGAACGGGTTGGATGGATCAATAAAACAAATTGAATAGGACCAGTCCATACTTAATGGTCTAAAGTATTTATTTTATTGGTTTGGGCATGGTCTATCTGTAATGGATTTATATAAAATTGGGTTACATTAAACCAATATCCAGTCCATTGACAAAAGATAAGGCTTAAGAGCAGCATGGGTGCCAAAGGACCACGTTTGGTTTGGACTTAGTCTAAATTAAAACCAATTTAAACAGATTGAATGGTCCAGACATTGAATTGGATCACTCTAGAATGGTCTAAAGTATTCATTGGATTGGATTGAACCTGGTCCATCTGTAATAGACTCATATTGGAGCAAGTTGGGTTAGACCAAAATCCAGTGTATTGACAGCCCTAAGAGAACTCTTGGGCCTTGGCCTCCCTCTTCCCTATAACTAATATACATACATACATACATTCCTACTTGTACTGCCAAAAGGGTAAATTGCATCTTCATTCCGGGCTTCTGAAAATAACAGGTATCTTCTCGTTAATTTCTGGAATTACATTACACTTGGTGTCCTCTTCCCCCTAGAGATACTCTTGCTCTGTCAAGTGTCAAGAGGCCATCAAGTTATAAAGAACAAGTTATGTCACACTCTGGAAAACCCTAAAGAAAAGGAGGTTTTGGGTTGGCTCTTCCCTTATGGACATGCATAGATTTACTTTGGAAGTTTCTGAATCCCTAAAAGCCCATCGAATAACAGCTGAACTAACTGAACTGAATGACTTGCGGCTTTGGTTTATCAAAGAGGTTGTGAACTCATATCTGAAGCTGAAGTGACTAATTACTTGAATTCTTCCCTAATTATTATGTAAGATGGATTTGTATGGCCATCTCTAATTTAAATTGATTCATGTTTTCAGAAGTGTTAATTTTTTTCTATTTACATTTTCAAGGAACAGTTGGGCATAAAGAATTTATGGTAAAAAATTGGCTTCGGGCAACAAATATAGAAACCAAAGTCTTGAATAAAGAGGAGGCGTGGCCTTGTCATCCACCGTAAATACATACTTAATTGAGGGAGCAAAATTGTTTCTGAATATTTGTTGATTGGCTACCACGTTTATGATTCCAGTTGACTGATCAAAAGTTTTTCAGATATTATATTGTTTTCATATCATAGTCGAACCCAAAACTAATTCTAAGGAATCTTTAGGCGCCCTTTTCAATAGCAGAACTTCTGATCTAAGGACCCATTTTGCTGCATTGCAATTATAGGACCTTTACCGCAACTAATAACAGTAACAACTAACAAGAGATAAGGTTTCCTTCGATTAGATATATACCCTATTTCTATCACGTGGAGGGATGATGTGGCCAAT